ATAAATGTGTACCCTAAAAAAAGGGTGTAAATATGCTCACAACAAAATTTCGAATTTGTATGGAAGCGGGGCAGTATATCAATGATTTTGGAACCAGCTCGTATCGCGTTGGCGATTGGGGGATCTGCGTTTAGAATTTCAAGTCTATCTATATATACTTAGGGGGTCGGAGAAGACTCCTTCAGCCCCTTACATATATTTATGTACGACAAGAATTCGGCTATCTTCGGCACGCCGAAGATTTAATACTATTATAAAGCAGAATCGCTTTAGTACAAAAGCTCTATATCTATTTGCAGATAAGTTAAAGATAATATTAAATTTGGTGGAGATGTCTTAAAAGACATACATTTTTTCTATGCAAAAACTAATTTTGACCCATGCTTATGAGATAGCTGTCCGATATTTTACTTATATATATGAAGCATAGTGAAACGTTTAAATTCCAACCGATCAAGATATGTGGAAGTCCCCATAGTAGTTTTTCATACTGGTATTCTACCTATAAGCGATAGAATGACGTGCAAGAAGCATGCTGTAACATGTAAATGTCAAGTTTGTTCAGGATATCGGGGGGAAGAAAAAAGACGCATCTATATACCTGTAATAGGTAGACTGACCGATGCATATTTCATGAAGCATGAATCGAAACAAAGACGGACACTCGGCTCGTCAGTGGGTAAAAATCAAGAATATGCACTAACCGCGTCAAAGCTTTGGCTTGGGGGTATCCAGATACCATTTGGTCGGTAGCGGTAAATTCGTGAAACGTCTTCCTCAAAATGTAGGCTCAACGTATTCTAGGTCCACTAAAGATACAATAGATGGTACGTAAATCGACAAACAAATGGTTGATAGACATCCTGTTACCAAGAAGTACATTAGTGCTTATCCATTTTGGTATGTCTGACTGATAAGAGTGTCAGCCGAACGTGAAGCATCGAGAGCCGAAAGATCAATGCCAGGCAGTATCTCGCTAAGTCGACCTCATCGTCGCTGCGTAACAAAATGGCTGTAAGGAGCTTCTTAGCAATTTCTTGTCGATTTGAAGACTATCTATTGTATGCTTAATGATAGGATTGATTATTGTAAACATCGAGCTCTTGGGGAAAATACATAATTCATAAATACACTTTAAGATTAATACCTGTTTTGTGATAAGCATGTACTCAGTAAGTATGTAAAGAACGGCAGAGCGTGGTATAATTCCATTTGTTTATAATTCAAGGCCAACGTGAAGATGAAAGCGGCAATATAGTTTCTGTTACACAGTAACGCAGCGACGGCTATAGCTAAAAATCCAAGTGATATGTTGTTGTACTGAAAGTGTCCATTGTCGATGAGAATTTGCCCCGGGTAAATTGCAAGAAGTACCAACAAATGATGTTTCAAATTTTTCTCAAAGGTGAGATCCATGCAAACAGAAATAGCTACAATAGCAGGCATATAAACTAGAATGTCCGCTGCTAAAACTGTAAGGCGCATATAACTCTTGTGTTCCTTTGTTTCAATACCCCTACTGGTGTGTAGTTCGACATAGCTGTGATTGAGTAATTTAGCAACACGGCCAGTTAGGTAACTGTGATAGGCTGTAAGAGGCGGATAATCCAAGCCCCAATACTGCAAGTCGTTATGTGTACCATTGGTATACCACTGTTTTACTTCTAAATTTGTTGTCACTTCTTGCCAGTGCCGCTGAGCTTCATAATCCCCAAACATTGGCGCTTGGTTAAATCCAGAGTAGGAGTTCATGGATATAATAGATCTTAAAGCCAATGCACCAAAAATTGCGGCTATCATTTCCGAATGCATATTGCCTAAAACAATGCTTTTATTTTTAATTAGACATAAACATGCACATAGTGATGTACCGATTAATGTAATTACGATTTACTACTCGATATTTTATAATTGTATTTCCAATCAAATTATTTTTGTATCAAATATTATCGATATACACTTGGAAGTAGTTAAATCAAATGATTGGCCGCCAATCCTTATATATCAAAGAAAGCCCTGTTCCAGCCTTTTTTTTAAAAGATTTATATGTTGGAAATAGTAACTGGACACATCAAACAGCACTTCGTTTCATAATAAATTATTATCAACATTTACAAAAATATTATTTTTTGATTTGATTTACCTAAGCGCTGCAAAGTTTTCCCTCCACGCTTTCTTTACACGTCAAACTGCACTACTTTCATATTTTTCATAACAATCATACGAATTTCGATAAATCATCACAGAAAAACACGAATTGCTCGGGGCGAATACCAGCATTTTCAATAAATGTTACTTTTCTGCAGATATGAAAAAAGTATAAAGCTGCGTGAGTTGGCAAGTAAAATTTTAATTTTTTTTATAAAAAAAAAACAATGAAAAGGTATTAAATAAAGTTCAAAAAGGAGTTTAATCTGAAGGGTGCATGCAATGAGTTAGAATTACAGCTTAAATATAATGAAAATAAAAAAAAATTTTAAATCAAATTAAATTCAAAAATTTATTGGACCGCTGTGACAACTGACCAAATTTCTTAACAGACTTAATCCTCATTATTGATTGAAAAATACATCGTCCCTGCTTTGCTCAGTAAAGAAATTATGCAAAATGGCAAGTATGAATAATGAGTTTCCTGCTTCTTTGAAACTGTAGTCGTCCTTTATCATCAATCAAAGTTAAATGGGAATTTTATATCTGCTGAACTCGATCAATGCTAGTTCGTTTGGGCTATGTCGAAACTATGTAAAATATCGAGCATTACCGAGTATACATAATTCCTTCCTGGCGAACAAACAAACAACCTCGTGGTTAACAGTTTTATAATATCACAGGTTGCTTGGTGTTTCAAGTTGTTTTCATGAGTAGTATTACTCTGGATCCTACAGCAGCTTTGTAAAAAATTTGGTTTCCAGGCCATCGTTTTATTTGGCAACTAATAGGTTCGCTCGTCAACAATCACTTTACGCTCGGCAGAACGGTTAAGTATTTGCGCAAACTCGAATCCTATATGCTCCTATAGCTTAAAATACGCTGCTCCTCATTATAGTCATAAGAGTTTTCGATGGGTTCCATTATATTGCCCTACTCTAATTTACACGGAGCAGTTGATTAAGAAATTGGGTGCAGAACTGGGTAAAGGCCAATTTCCTAAATAATGGAAGCTCCACATGGAGTGGCCCGAAATGCATGGTTGAAAAATAAAGCTACAATAATCTCAATTTGAAAATTCATACAAGGTTTTAGATAAAAGTGCACCTTTTTTAAATCCAATCATAATGAAACACACTGATATACTTATATAATAATACAAATAAATTAGAAGTCTGGTTCTTGACAATCAAAATAGATTAACAAGTTCACTTAGAGCCAAACCTTCACATACATTATAACGACTAAGGGATAATCTGGTAAACTTAAATGAAATGCACAATCTTTAGTTTTATCTTCTAACGATACCAAAAACACCGATAACTTTTAATCCGACTCTCCTGCTGCAGCCTATGTGAAACCACTAACCAA